CATGGCTTTACTTCCTATATTTCGTCTTCATACTTTTCTACTGGATGGTTAAGACCAAGGTAAAGCAGGACCTATGCAACAAGAATTGTAGCTTTTTGGTCTGAGAAGGTCAGTGAAATTCCCTCAGGATTTATCCTGAGATCCTGTACCTCAGATTGTAGAACCTTTGTCAGTGCAGTCATGTGAACTTACTTCTGTCTTCTTTCTTTCTTTTTTGATCTTTTTGAGGCAGGGTCTCACTAGACAGTTCAGGCTGGCCTTGAATTCAGTTTGTGGCCCAGGCTTGTCTCAGACTCACAAAGATCCTCCTGCCTCAGCCTCCCAGGTGCTGGGATTACAGGTGTGCACCACCTGGCCCCATCCACCCACTTGTGTCTCAAGACAGATCTTTAAAAAGGGAATTCTGAGGCATAATGTTTGGACTTTTTTAAGGCTTCTGAATTATTTTAGCAGACAGCTGCCAGACGGCTGGTCCTGCTTCACACCCCTGCTGGCAAACCCTGATACTGCTCCTCTGGGCATGTTGGGGCTGGCATGGGACACTGTCACTGGAGAAAATGCCTTTGCTGGAGCTGGCAGTGGTCAGTTTTGGAGGTGTGAATGGTCCCATGTGTTTTGGTCACATCTTGCTTGCCTCTCCACTCACCTATGGACCTGCACCCTTGGTGGCAGGGACGTCATTCTCCTCCAGTGCCACTTCTTCGTGCTGCTCCATTGTCCTGCTTTACCCACTCCTTTGACCTGTGGGGGACACTCGCTGCTCTGCCCCCATCCCTCCACCCTCTCCATCCGTGGCTCCTTCCAGCTTAACACCACCACAGCCTTCTCGATGCTGTCTGTCCCCAGTTCACATCTGTCTTGAGCTCCATCAAGATGCATCCTCAAGTCACCCATGCAGAGCCTCATGCCACCACCCAGGTAGCCGCCCAAGACCCATAACCGGAGGGCAATGAGGATGCCTCCTTTCCTTGGCTCTCACATACAGACTTTGATGGTATCTTGTACTATTGTCTAAAGACTGTCCCCTCACTGTCTTCCGTGTGTCCCCGATGGCTCTGGGAACCCCATGCAGTCCTTAGGAGAACCCTTGGATCCTTTAACTCTCTTGTTTATTTCTGTGTCTGTTTCCTGGAGGCCAGAGGCTTCCTGTGCCTGCACCCAGTGTGGCGCCAGACTCGGGCCCAGAGTCTGATGAAGGAATGTGTGAAAGGATGAATGAGTTGGCGATGGCCGATGGGACAGCACTGTCCCGCTGGGTGGGCTCAGGCCACAGTTCTGGGCCAGGGAGACAGTGCCAGAGCTGGATGTGTGTGCCAGAGACACATCTGAGGAGGACCTTGCAAGGCTTGAGGAGAAATCACCCATGGGCCTTGGGCTGAGATTTCAGGATGGCTTGTCCTTTGTCCCTTGCTGGTGCTCTGCCCAAGCCCCTGGATTGAGCAGGCAGTCCATTCCTCTGAGTGGGGCCACCTTGCTCCTCAGTTTAAGCACCTTCTGTGGCTCCCTATTGCCAGCCTACAAGGTTTTTATGATTGGGCCTGCCCAGCTCACCTGCCATACCTCTTCTATCCCAACCAAGTTCTCTCTCTCTCTCTCTCTCTCTCTCTCTCTCTCTCTCTCTCTGTTTCTCTCCCTCTCTCTTTCCCCCCTCCTTCTCCCTTTTTTCCTCCCCCTCCCCCCTCCCTTCCCTCCCTTGCTGTGTGTGTCTCAATTTCTCTCTCTTTCCTCTTTCCTTCTCTTTTGGTCCTTGGCTAGGGCCTTCGAACTGATACCGCTCTAGCTCTTTATGTTTCATTTTGAGACAGAGTCTCACTAAGTTGCTACATTGCCTGGGCTGGGTTTGAATTTGCAGTCATCCTACATCAGCCTCCTGGAGTACAGACCCAAAACATTTTGTTGTTCCTTCCTGCCTTTATATAAATGGCTTTGTCTGGAAGCCTTTTCTCTGTTGCCGGATGTCATCCTCCACAACGTAGGTCAGCATGAGGTCCTCCAGGGAGCCTCCTAACCTGCCAGGTCACTCTGTCTCCCTGAGTCTTTCTATATGGAAGTGATTCCACTTTGTGCAGCCAGCCCTGGGGACCTGAGTCTCAGCCTTGCCTCTCCCTTCTTGGGTCATCTTGGAAAGGTCCCTGAGTCCTTCCGAGTTTCAGCATGTTTCTCTGCTCCCTCTCCATGTAAGGAGTCCCAGCTGTAATTTTCTTGCTTCTGGATTAGTGAGAGCATCAGACAGGCTGGAAGGAGAGGCTGGGGTAAAAAGCAAGCACCCTGGACAGCACACACGCGGCTCGAATTTCACTTCCCTCCATCCCCAGCTGTGTGATCCTGGGCGGGGCATCTCCTCTCTCCAGGTAAAGAGTTCTCCACCTGCGAGGCAGAAACCTCATAGGTGGCTGAAGGAATGATTGAGGGTGTGGTCTGTAAGCGCTTAACATGGCACTGGCACAAGCAAAGGTCTCCGTGATAGGTGCCATGGGGTTAGGGAGGGATCGGCAAGTTCTCAGTGCTGTGAGCCCGGGGAGGCGGGGTGGGAGGTGATGGTCTCAAGATCCCGCCATGGCTTGCACAGACCTGGAGAAGAGGGGGGCTTCTCCTGCTCTTCTTTCTTGTTCATTGGCATCTGGGGTTGGCAGACCTAGCCTAAGCCCTGGGCTCAGGTGGCCTCGGGACTGCTAAGTGCCCCAGGAGCAGGTGGGAAGAACCCATGCCTGGAGACGAAGCCCTGGGCCCCACCGCACCCCTCCCACTGGAGCTAGGCTGCTGCAAACGGCCGTGCAGAGAGGCTCAGCACCAGGGTGCTAGGCCAGAGGCCCTGGAGCCTGGAGCAGCTGCGCTAATTCATGCAAAGGAAGGCTTCCAGGTTTGCCCTGTCTATTTATAGCTTATTTATGAAGAAGAAAAAACAAGGGCCCTGTTTCCATAGCAACCAGGAGCATCATGGGCGGCTTTGCCTGCAGTGGGAAGATGGCCAAGTCTGCTTGTGTGAGGCACCATGGCTGGTGTGCACTCTAGCTGTGAACGGGAGGCCAGAGAGGGTCCTCTAGGGCTCGTCCCCCTCCTGCATTTTCAGCAACCTGTACATTGGGCAGGGTGGGGGCTGCACTTTGCTGGTTCTATGGAGAATCCAGCGTGACGCTGGCACCATACTCACCTGACCTCCTGGTCTCCTGGTTTTGGAATTAGCTTTTGTTTTCCAAGTGCCAACCTGCTGCCCTGGGCAAGTGAGGAGTCCGTCACCCAGCTGTGCTCTGGAATGTGTCCTGTAGGACATTTAGCAGAGCATGCTGGAACTGCATTCCCCACACCAATGACCTACCAGCTGCAGTCTAGCTTGAAACTGGCAGTAAATCTAGCATGAGGGAAGAGTTTAATAAATACTGCATGAATGAATGAATGAATGAATGAGAGTGAAGTGTGTTACAATCTATGATGCATACATTCAGTCAATGTGTGAGCACTGTAATGTTTTCTCACTTACAGGGGAGGGAACTGAGGACCAGAGAGGTAAAGAGACTGATGTAAGGCCACACAGTGATAACTAGCTGAGTTGGTTTGGAGGAGGGAATTTTGCTTCTGCTTTGGTAAAGTCCCAGGGATCCCTGGAGTGTGGGATCCACGAGGGTGCTGGGGGTGGTGCTGGGTCTCCCCAGGGGTGGGGTGGAAAAGGTGTTGTCTAAACCTTAACTGTGCTAGTTGTCAGCTACGTGAACTTTTCAGTGACTTTGCCTTTGTAGGCCTCAGTTGCCCCTACTGTAAGGGGGCCCGCTAGTTCCCTGAGGGCAGGCACTGTGTCTGTCCCTTGATGATGTCTCCCAGTGTCCAGCATAGTCTAGGTTCCTGGGATGCACTGAGATTCTGTATACAGCTTGGTTAGGACCGAGTTCAGGATGCTAAGAGCTTTCTGGGCTTATGAATTTTCCTACGCCGTTTGAGGACCGAGGCATAGAGAGTCTGAAGGCTCTCCCAAGATCTCACAGCCACATCCACAGCAGAAGTTGTGGCTTTACTGTTTAATTGAGTTCTGTGAACACTAAATCGAGCCAGGGAATATGTGAAACTTGTCAGGCTGAGGGGAGGTCATTCTGGGCTGAGCTGCAGTCCCAGGGGGTGCAGACAGGTTTGGCAAGGGAGTTGAGCAGGAGGCTGAGTGCCAGGACCTAGGACTGCCTGGCCTACTGCAGGCTTGGGGGTAGGGAGGCTGTAGCAGCCCCAGGCCTGGGCTCAGCCACTTGGGCCAAGCTTTGGCAGCCTGGAGGCTTTCTGACGCCCTCTGCTGGGCTCTGGCTGCCTCTGCTGGTCTTAACTGCCCTGAACGCCCTTAAGAGGAGGCAATGCTACCTCCTTAACTTTGCCTGGGCACAACAATGACACCAAGGAAACTCAAATAAGAAGAAAAATGCCTGGTAGACAAACCCTAGTGCTATCTATGCCCCCTATGCATGGCCCTGGGGACACTGGCACTTTCCTCCTCTGGACTATGAACTCACAAGGTGTAGCAGTTTGGTTCAGGTGGTTAGAAGTCAAGATCAAGGTGTCAGCAGTATGACTTCTTTCTGAGCCATAAGAGAGAATCTAGCTGAAGCCTCTGGCCTTGTGTCTGGTAGTCTGATGACAACACTTGGTGTTTCTGAGCTTGCAGAAGCGCCACCCCAGCCCTGTCTCCATCTCCACAGGGCTGTTGCCCTGTGTTCACATCTAACCACGCATCTCCCCCATTTGTGAGGACTCAAGCCCTATTGGGCACAACCCACTCTAAGGTCCTCATTTTATTTGATTACCTCTGTAAAGATCCCACTTCCAAATCAGGATGCAGACTAAGGGTCAAGACTTCAAAATGCTCACATATTTCCGATGAGTGAGGCACAGATGTATTGACAAGAAATTCAATCTTTGGTAATCATCTGTGGACTCAGAGTTGTGACAGACACTGGTTCTAGGTATTTAGGACACATGTGTTCATTCATCTGCACCCAGAACTATGCTTGGCATATAGTTGGTGATCTACAGATCTCTGTTGAGGGGGTTAATGAATCAACTCCATGGTCATTAAGGCTGTCATTTACTATGTAAATTTGAGCAAGTTATGTCATCTCCCTAAGCCTTAAATTCTATGAGTAAAACGGATTGGTATAGAGCTACCTCCTACAGTTGTTGATAGGCTGGACTGAATGTACTGCTATTAATAGCAACTTTTGAGGAGCTGCAACGTAGCAAGATGGATGCTGCCCAAGGACAATGTTTAGTACACACAGGTATATTTTTAAGTGGAGTGAAAATTTACCTAACACAAAATTCACCATTTTAATGCTTTAAAGTGTGAGATTCAGTGGGTTTTAGCATATTCAAAACATTGCACAACTACTACCGCAATCTAACTCCAGAACATTTTTATCATTCTCCCCAAAGTCTGTACCCATTAAACAGTCACTCTACCAGCTTCCAACAACCACTAATTTACTTTATGCTTCTATGCATTGGTCTGTTAAAGACACTATCATGATAAATGGTATTATTCCACTTAAACAATATGTGTCTTTTACCTGGCTTCTTTAGCACAATATTTCCAAGGTTTGTACCTGTCATAGTCTGTATCTGTGCTTTGTTTATTTTTATGGCCGAATAATATTCCACTGAATACATTTTGCTTATTCATCCAACCATCCATCCACCAATGGCCCTCTGGGTTGTTTTCACTCTCTGGCCATTACAAATAATGTTGCTATGCACGTTCATTGATTTTTTTTTTTTTTTTTTGTGGAACCGGGAATTGAACTCAGACCCTTGTGCTTGCCAGGGAACCGCTTATTCTGTTGAGCCATCTCCCTGGCCCCTGCTATGCACATTCATGTACAAACTTTTGCAAACATACATTCT